CGGTTCCCAGCAGATCACCGAAGTCAAGCATCACTGGCTGCGGTCAGTGTGCGGGTGGGTGACCACTTGGATCAGTCTGCGTAGGGACCGAGGGTGTGCGGTATTGGTCCTCGTTAAACTGTGCTACCGTAAAGTGCTCGACTTCGCGTGCAGGTCGTTGGGCTACCGAAGCAGGGGTGCCATCCCCTCTGCTGAGGATCAAAATTGTGATGGCATGTCTTCGGATCATCCTCAGGGATGTTTCCCAGACCGTCGCCAATAGCCCATTGTGAAGCTCTAGTGCGACGTAAATGAACGACAACAACAACCATATAGACAAAACATATTCTAGAACGATGGGGGGGGGACGGGGGATATTTAGGGAATTTTTTTGCTCGCGAGAAAGGGACAAACATGCTAAATGTTATAAACCGGAAGTAACGATTAAGCAATTACGATTAAAACGATGATAATATCAGCCAATGAAACAGGTGTATTTAATTAAAAGGTCTGGTAGCCAAGCAAGAAATACTCTTTAAACATGCCATAAATATTTTCTGCGGTTATATTGTTTAATTATTTTCACATTCATTTCACTGTGATCCTTAGAGACCGAAACTATTTGGTCTTGAAGAAAATAATAAAGAAGTGTTCCTTTTATTTAAATCATGTAGATTAATTAGAAGCTACCCCACACCATTTAAATAAGTAAATAAAAATGAAATTCTTGTCAATAGATCGGTTAGAGATTGGAATTCTACTTTATGTTCGCTAAATAGCGATATTCGAACAAGTATTTTAGTGATTCTTTATTCAGTACGGGTAGTTCAATGTTATAAATTTATCAATATTTTTTATCCAAGTTAACTGACCAAAATGTGTTTATTATCATTCTAGTATTTACGTAAAAGTTTAAGTGTACTTATTAAGTTGCTTTTAATCGTATCAATATTTTTAAAAAAATTGTGTTTTAAAAAGTGTAACTCTTTTGCATTTAATGTATAGATTTCGACTGAATAATTGTAATTATATCCGCTATTATATAATCGTTGTAATAATATTGTAATGATGCTCGTATTATTGAGCTAAGACTATCGTTTGTCTGTAAGACATTATTTATTTGTTTTGGTCTTTTTATTTTTTTTGTGAACTACCAAGATTATTAAAATTTATAAGCATAAAAATTTACTAAGAAATCTTATCAACAGTTGATTTTTGTTAAGATTTTATGTAATGACAATTATGCAAGAGTAAAATTTTTCCTTTTTTTTATTGGTTTGCCCATTTTATTTCATCTAAAATTCAGCTTTATTTTTGAAGTAAAAATAATAATTTGGAATTTACTCTTTTGTAAACTTTAAGGAGATATTTCCGTATTGTGATCTGTCGCTCCAACTACAATCACCAAGGTGCCAAATAGATTTAAAACTTGCAAATTTAAAAAAAAAAAACAAAAACATGTAGATGTTTGCCTGGGGGTTATACCTTTAGAATTAGTACCTTTTTGTGATTTTTTTTTTAGTTTCTCGCGGGCCACTGCCCGAGAGAAACTAAAGACTTGGCAATTACTCTGCCACATATCGCGATACGGAAATCTCTCCAACTTTAAAGTTTTATGACTGTAATGATTCATTAATAAAAAAAAACTATCTAAACAGAAAAAAATATGTTTAGTTAAAAAAGGTGTACACTTTAATGCAATAGAATGGAAAAGGTTATGAAGAATTTTTATTTCTAGTAATTTTAAACTTAAAGTTTCTTATTTACTTTTTTTTAATAAGAAGGGATGATTACATAAACATCTATTATTAGAATCAGTAATATAGAGGAGGGGGTGTTCATTATTTGCTGCCTCACATTTAACGAGAAATACCAAAGCCACCCGCTAAGGATTCACATCTTCGATAACTTTTTCTTTTATTTCAAATAGTTTTGTGAACTTTTATTTTTGTAAATATATATTTAAATATATTGAACTTTAAATGGAATAAAATTGAATATTTATGTTTATATATAATGCATGCATTTTATAATAACTGTCACTTTTTGTTTTCTATTGCAATTATACATGCTTATTTCAGAAAGAAAAAAAATTGTACTCTAAAAGGTGGGATTATAATTGTTCCCGTTATTGAAAAATTAGTTAATACAACACTGACATCTCTTAATTTTTTCTCTACCATTAGAATATCTTTGAAGCAACTTTCTAACAACAAAGTTTTTTTAATCTTTTGTTATAATATGCAGGGTATCTTCACACCTGGAAAGTCATGAATTTCGGTATTGAACAAAATTAGTCATGAAATGTCATGATTTTAACTATTTTTTAAAGAAAGTCATGGGCATAGGGTGCCGAAAAATCTAATTTTGAAAATGGAATATCCATTTAGTAAATTTATATCAAAATATTGTATATCCTCCCCTCAATTTCATGGTGTTCCAAATATCTGAATTTGTAACAAAATCCCCATTCACAGTCATATTTTATTAAAATATAAAATGTTTTTATCAATTTCTTTAAAAAATTATGTTCTTTCAAAAAATGAAAGAGAAAACATCATTTCTGGAGCGAATTATCTTATAAACTTCTGTGATTTCTGAATTTTTGTTATTATTATTATTATTATTATTTTTTTTATCAATTTCAAATTCTAGCTGAAGACAGTCATTGACGAATTTTTTTAATTCTCAAATGAGAACAGAAAAATCAGGAGTATTTCTTTCCTTTCCGATCAGCAAGAAAAGTATCTTTAATAAATAATTCTGCAGAAAAAAAGAAAAAAAACTATTTGCTTTTGTATTTTTTTCAGTTATTTTATTGCTTCAACACTAACTTTACTCTGTTTTTTAAATTTAAAATCTATAAATATGAAGGTACAGAGTATAACAGTTTTGGTTATATCTATCATTTCAATTAATGTTATTATAATACTTTTTAAATTTATTGCTGTGTTTTTGTCGGGGAAAATAGTAACTTTGCTAAGTCATGAAAAATTCTTGGAATTAGTCATGAAAAGTCATTAATTTGAAAATCAAAAATTTAGCAGATACCCTGCATATGTTTTCATTATTTAAAACATATTTATTAAATAAAAGAGTTTTGTTTTTAACCTTTTCTCTGTTGGCATTGCATCTCATATTTTGAACGTTTTTGTGCCTGTGATTATTTTTATATTTCTGAATATTGCTAACAGATGGCAAAACTAGTCCCACTTTCTTCAAAATTTTCACTGTAAGATTTCTAGCCTTGAATTGAAATCAAAATCACTATATTTCACTTTCATTAGTTTTACTATTTTACTGTTATTTCATTAGTTTACTGTTATTTCATTAGTTTATTGTTATTTCACTTTCATTAGTTTTACCATTGCATATCAAAATCATTATGATGTATGAGGTTTGAAAATTATTTTGGTTGGAAAATTATTGAGGTTAAGTTGGAAAATTAGTTTCCAAAATTTTTTTTTACCTAATTTTAATAATTATTTTATGCAGATATTCATCTTAACCACCTTTAAGCAATAGAGTTAATAAATATATTACCACAGTGTATTTTTTTAAGATAAAACTTGGGTACAGTGCAAGGAAGCTGGAAAATTATTTTCCAAAACATTTTTTTACCTAATTTTAATAATTATTTTATGTAGATATTTATCTTAACCACCTTAAAGCAATAGAGTTAATAAATGTATTACCATAGTGTATTTTTTTAAGATAAAACTTGGGTACAGTGCAAGGAAAACTACAGTGGTAGAGTGCAAGGAAGCTGGAAAATTATTTTCCAAAACATTTTTTTACCTAATTTTAATAATTATTTTATGTAGATATTTATCTTAAAAACCTTACAGCAATAGAGTTAATAAATATACAGTCCTTGTCCAAATTATTAGACGCACTTTAAGATTTTATGTAAAGTCTTAATCATCAGGTGATACTATACAGCTTTATTGTTTTTTTGTGACTGAAACCGGTTTGCACTTGTTTACATTAGTGTATTAATTGGTTAAATTAGACGATATATAATGTAAATTTGACGATAGGATACATTAGACAATATATTATATAAATATAGAATATTTATTATATCAAGCATTATATTAGTATATTATAGTAATTAGATCAAATTATTAGACACACTGTAGTTTTTTAATAATGACATGATTTTCACGAGTTTATGCAGTACTTTTATATTTAAACATACATGTAATGGGTTTTTATTCGGGAGTTTTATTATATACTTCCTATTTGTATTTATTTTTAACATATTGCATTACAATGTTAACCGATTGATACAGGAGCGTAAACAAATGCAAACCGGTTTCATCTGAGTGAAAACAATACAGCTGTATAGTATCACCTGATAATTATAATTTTACATAGAATCTTATAGTGCGTCTAATAATATGGCCAGGGACTGCATTTTCACAGTTAATTTTTTTAAGATAAAACTTGGGTGCAGTGCAAGGAAATCAGTGGGCAGGACTTCACATATTTCACTATCCAATCACATATTTCATTATCCTATAGGTCAAGCAAAAAACTGCTTGCTGACAAAAATATTTTTAATTTAGGATAGAGCAAGTATTAATTTTCATCAATAATAAAGAATGCTTTTTTGGGTCGGAAATTGGGAAAAAGAAATCCCTCAGAGAAAGGGTTAAACAGTTATTTCCTTTTTAACAGAAGCTAGATTCTAAAAGAAAAGTTGTATTTAATATGTAACATCTGATCGTTAATATTTAACTCTATTTACTTTACATTATTATTATTTAACACTATACTTATAAAAACTTAAATATTTTGATCTGAATTTAATATACAACACTGTCTGCAATTATGTTATTTGAATATTTACATTAGTACTTAAGTAGGAATTTTTAGGTTCGTCACAGTTTTTTAATGCAGGTTTTTGATATGGCAATTTTATTCACGATTTATACGAAATGTTAAAAACTGTCAAATGTTAAACATTGGCCTATTTCATTAATTTACATTTAAGCTATTGTTTATTATTTTAAACATCTGATAGGATAGGGGTGCACAGCCTGCGGCCCGCAGATCAAGTGCGGCCCTTCGACTACTGAAGTGCGGCCCTTCGACTACTGAAGTGCGGCCCTTCGACTACTGAAGTGCAGCCCGCGAGAGCTTCTAAACACAATAAAAATTTTTTTTAAAAATGGCAATTTTTAATCGCACTTTTAAGTCATCACGTTTTGACACAATAAATTTTAGCAGATTATTTAGTAAATGTACGCTTAACTCGCTTTCTTTAAGCCGATTTTATCGTAAATATAAATGATTTTTTTTAACAGTTATTTCTGCTTTTCTACGTGATTTCGAAAATCCCGAATTTTTATTGCGATGCGAGTTTCAGATCGCAAATTTAAATAATCACTTTTTGTGCACTTTATTTGTGACGATTTCATCTTAAATCTAAGTGATTTTTTATCTTTTTTTTTTTGAAATTCTTTCTTTTTTTTCAACAATTTTTTTCGGCAGTTATTGCTATACGCTCCCACGTATTATAAAAAATTCCAATTATTCTATTGCGACGTGCAAATTTTAAATCATGCATTTGACACGCTTTATTCCTGCTGAGTTCAGCATAAATATATTTTTTCCCAATTATTTCTATACTTTAACACATGATTTTGACGATCCCGCTATTTAACTATGATGTTATTACGACACATGGTTGTTAATCGCACAATTAAATAATCACTTTTTGATATGGTATTTCGGTACAGTTTTATCGTAAATCCTAGTTAATTTTCCTTCGTTTTTATTTCCGCAACGAATATGATTTGGTCGAATGTGGTAATGAAATGTGATTTGATCAAAAACTAAATATTCCGCAAAAGAAAGAAGAAAAAAATCGACTGAACGCCGTACACTTGGGGCCAAATAGCAGAATCTTTTAGCAACATAGTAACACTGAAACTAAAATTTCAATGCTCAGAATAATATTTCCTGGAAAAATGTATTCATATATTAACTCTAAAAAATAAGGCCAATCAAGAACGTTTTTGAAAATGTCAAAAAGCGAAACAGAGAACATAAAAATCAATCTTAATTTTGGAAATTTTTTTTTAAAGCTGAACATCTCAGTTTTTCAATTACCAGAAAAAGCCAAGAAAAAAGAATTAAGTCAACAAAAATGCTATTAAAAATTACTGCATTATTATGAAAACGTCTAAAAAAGGTGTTTTATTTATTTAAAGAAATTAAAAATTCTTAATTTTTTAAATGAAAATCTTATGCCGAAAATCTCAATTTAAATTTTTCTCATTGCCATAATTTTAGAAGAAAAGAAATTGCTATAAAATCAATTTTATTAGTAACTTTATTTTTAAAAAAAATTCTGAGTCATAATGAAAATGCCTAAAAAAGAAAAGCAGAAAAAAACGAATTTTTCTTAGTTCCTGAAACAAAACTTTAATACTGAAAATCACACTTTTCTATGTTACTGGTTATTTATATTACAGTACAGGGAAAGAGTGATAATAAATTAATAGTATGAGACGTTCTGTTAAAATGCTGGGTTATAATAAAAACAGCAAAAAATGGATAAAAATCCTTCTCAATTCTCAAAGTATCGAAAAAATGACAAAATTGACTTGTCTGATTATAATTTTAAAAAAAAAAATAATATCTATAAAAATTCAAAAATAAAAAAAACTTAGAAAAATGCATTTCTAAAAAATATTTTGCCAAATATTTGACTGATCATTCAACCAACTGAATTTTTCACAGAAGGGCCAAATACTCGTTACATCCCTCCCTAATTTAAATGCAATGTTATTGCAACTTGAGAAATTCATAAAATGGCGGAAAACGTGAATTTTTAAACTGCTCACTGTTAGTAGTTTAGATTTCAATTTTTTGTTGCTTAAGTGATCTTTTTCGATAAAAAAAAGGAAAATGTTTACGATATAAAAAATCTAATAATTAATAAAATAAAATAATAAAGTACATTACAAAATAAGCATTGAATTTTATTTTGAACTATCACAGTTTTGCTTTTATTTTAGGCTCTTTTTTAAAACCTTTAAATTTTCTTCAATTAAAATATTTAATTTGAATTTATATTACTTAATTATGACTGAACTTTTTCCTGCTTTCATTCTGTGGGCATTGCAGTTTTTTTTATTTATTAGAATTTAATTCTAAAATGAATTTTCATATTGCGTGATATGATTAAAAAAAACCCATTTATTTTCTTCAATGTTTATTTATTTTGATAAATCTATTGTTCATATGATAAAAATAGCAAGTTTGTTTATTTTTGAATGAATTCTAATAATGGAACACTACTAAGTTATTGATATTACTAATCTTATTGATAAAAGAAAATGGAATGCTAATGTTTAAATAAACATTACTACATTTGTCATTAACATGTCTAAATACACGTGTGGCCCTTCGTTAGCCAACCTGCTGTGCAAGTGGCTTTTCACTCAAAAAGGTTGTGCACCCCTTTGATAGGATATCATTAATATAATTCTTGGCTAAAAAGGGTTTTATTTTTTGTTTATTCCTTACTAAATTTTTTAAAAAAAATATCTTGATCATTGTTATTTTAACTTTGAGTTAAATCAATGATTTTATTTTTCTTTTCAGTTAATCTGGTGCTATTGATTGTTGATATCTGAGACTAGGATTTTGATAACATTTGCAATTTTGAACTCTTTTGATAAGATATTTTTTGGAATTTTATATTATCTTTTTTTATTCATTTTAGGACATTTTTTAAGTAATAGGAATGTTTGTTATAATTTTAGTTTGTTATCATTTTTGAAATTCTAGGAAATTTTTTTTATTTTAGGGCACTTTTTGAGATTCTAGGAATTTTTATTTTATTTTAGGGCACTTTTAAAAAATTTTCTAAGTATAATGGCATTTGTGTAGATCTTACAGCTGTCCACTTTTTATCTGAGTTTTACTATTTAATATATTACAACTTGAGTTTTACATAATTTTATTTACACTTGAAAACCGAATAATTTTAAATTGTATTAATTTTATGAAGACATTTTTGTGATGTTATGCTTGAGAAATCCAAACTGTGCTGATGATTATTATTTTGAAACTCTGAACAAAATTTACACTGTGAAACCTCACTACAACAATATTTTCGGGTCAAAATAAATATATTGTTGTAGAGGGTGTATATATTGTTATATCGAGAGCCGACATATTTTAGAGACACAATAAGATTTTTAATTTTTATGTTACATATGTTTTAACTATAAATGTATATATTAATTTGCAGATAGGTTAATTATGGTTAAATATTAAAAATAATTGAAATAAAATAAGATTGCAGACATACCTGAAAACCGTTTTTATGAAATCCGATATTTTTGTTTGTTTATTTATCTTTCTGACAGTTAAGTTAACCAACAAAGTATGCAACAAGTTCAAAATACGAAAATGATTTTCATTTGTGAATTTTGCTCCACCATCCCCATCTACGGAAAAATTTCTCTTTCCGGTGTTAATGTGATGCTTGTGATTATTTGTGACTCATGATCAGCATTTAACATGAAGGAAATGAAATCAGATAGGAATGTTACATCTGTGACTTCTTAAGAAATAGGGGAGGTAATTCTAAGAATGGAAGCTTTTGGGGTGGTCAGCAGTGGGTCTTTTCATGTCAGAAAAAAATGACAAACTATGATAAGATAAGATTTTTTATATTATTTGAAAACCAGTAATAAATGGAGAAAATAAGGTTGAAATTTGGAAAAAAAATCATTTTACAGTGGCTTATTGCTTCAGAGAATATCATAATATTGAGAGGAGAATACCATTAATTCATATGAAAATTCGTCGGGACCACGAAACATTATCGTAATCGAGGGAGTTTTATGTTTCCAAAATCCGGACTCTAATGATTTCAATCCTTGTAATAAAGGCTAACTTATTCCAATTTTGTAGCATTATGGAAAATGGGCATAATGCTGCTGCTAGTTCCTCAACTAGACATCACAAACGGATGCCCTCCTTTGTGGACCTTCTACCAGACTTTAAAGGGGCAGATTCAATATCAACACAATGTTCAGAAATTATGGATCACTTCAGCTTGGAGGTAGCTCAACTGATTGCTTCAAAAACTGTTGTTAAAGTGAGTTCTTTTGTTATTGTCTCATTAAAATACTCAAAAAGAATTTATAAATTTGTTTTTAAAAAAACTTCTCATTTCTCTATGCTAAACCCTGTGGCAGTATTTTTTCGGACTTACAGGGACATACCTCTCTAGTACTAATAATATTTTTCTTCAAGATACTTTTAATAATAACAAATATGCATGTTACTAATTTAAAGTAACCAAAGCGTCAACTTAAAAACAAGAAACTTTTTAGATAAATTTTTTTTTATTCAAATACGTAATATTTTTTTATTCTAATATTATGGGCGATATTCTCGCGTTTTGTAGGAGAAAAGCATACTAATTATTTCTTTTTTTTGCATTTTGTAAATCATCATTACATTAAAAAAAAAACAACATGAAATCCGTATCAGTTACTACCGAAAAAAAGATTGACGGTGAAATCACGCGAATCGGACGCTAAATGTGTGTTTTCATTTCGAGATTCAGCTGTTGTAATAAATAGTATCGTATTAAAAATATAGGATTTTAAAACCTATGTGGAAATTAAAAGTAATAACTGCAAATAAAAAATAGAACGAAACTTACTGTAGAAGAAAACCAAATTTTTTACTTCATTATTCTTTATTATATTTTTCATTATTCTCAAATGCGAATAGAAAAGTCACAAGCATTTTTTTTCCTACTCAGATGCACAAAAAAGGCATCTTTTGAATATAGTTTTGAAAAACGTAAAATTTTTCGAAAATTTCTGCAGAAAAAGAAACTGAAATTTTTTACTTCTCAAAGAAAAAGTCTTTCTGCAAGAACTCCATATTGTTGCCCTGTCGCCACGATTCTGCCATGGGGTTGCTAAACTATGAATAATTCGCAATTTCCTGATAATAACTAATTGATATTTTGAAGTATTTTTGTTTCATTTTATTGATGAAAATTTTTTTTTTTATGGAACTTAATCATCACATTTTAATATTTTTAAAAGTTTACTAAGCTATTTTCATAATTTTGAAAAAATTTTGATTTGATTATTATTTATTATTAATTATTTTTAAAATATATTTCTGTTCTTGCACTAAAAGCTATTGAAGAATTTTATATTTGTCGTTAGACGCGTTATGCTGTATTGATTGTGTTCTGTGCAGAAAATCGACTTTTTCTCATTTAAAAAAGGTCATTTTAAAATAGAGCACATAATATCCATTTCCCAGATGGCCATCGTCGACCGAATATTTAAAGTAGAGGAGTAAGTCAAGAGTGAGTCTTGTGAAATGGCCAGTTTTGGCTACTGTCTTGTCATCCTTCAAATCAAACGACTAGCGGCTGGGATAGCCTAGTTGTTAGGGCACTGGGCCCATGTCCAATAGTTTGTGGGTTCGATACCTGCCGGTCGAAGACTGCCCGTGTAGTATGTGGAGACTGATGCACGATAAATATGTCAAGTTGCAAAGTCCTCTATGTTCCCATAACAAATCAATACCTCTGGGGGTACTGATCCAGGAGTTTCCTTGTCTTCTGTATTGGTTCAAAAATTACACGGCTACAGAGTTGAACATTGGTAGTCGTAAGCCCAAAATTGGATCGGCTGTTCAACGACGGATATAAAAAAAATTATCAGACTACTAGAGTCGCAATGGCTCTGGGGAGAGAGCCTTAGCCTTCCAATGAGGTGAACNGAATCCCCTTGTCTTCTGGATTGGGTTCAAAATGACAAGGCTATGGAGTTGAACAGTAGTAGTCATAAACCCGAAAAATTGGGTCGACTGTTCAACAACGGTTATAAAGTAAAATAAAATCAAGCTACTAACCATATTTTTCATAAAAATTCGAGAATACAGTACTCAAAATTTGCTAGAGTGATTTTCTCAGTATTACAAGTAAATGGACCCTCGTAACATATTTTGATCTTGACTAATGGTATTTTGATGCCAAAATGTCGAGGTGTACAATACAAACTTGAAGTGTTAAAAATATGGGGGCATTCTTAATGTTTTTCTTATTTTAATAACTTTTAATGATATATGAATGATATAGAATCATTAAAACTTTATGGCAACCTTACTTTAAATAAATATTATTATTTTTTGCAATCAATTTTCCTACATCTTTTTTTGGTTTTTGTCATCAATTTAATATTTAAAAAAATTGTTCAATGTATTTTTTCGAGAAAATTGAGTTAAAATTTATAACCTGGCCTTTAGAACTGCTTTAAAATGACTCTATTTAAGATGTCTATTTCTAATAATATGCATTTTCAAACTTGAAACAAATGAATGATTTCAGGAAATTGAGGAATTGAGCCATCAGATCTGTAAATATCACTCATTAGCTCTTACAATTGGTACAAATATTGATGGTTCCTCTCTGCGACAAGAGCTTTTGGAGAGACAGCAGAAAGCCTGTGATAAAGTAATCTCTACCACCAGTCAGCTGTCAAATGCATTTAGGAGGTTTGTCCTTCCTTATCTAAAACAATTTTCACAAAATTCTATGTGAGATAAAATTAATTTGCACTTTCAACAATGTTCAAAAATTAAAGCTATATCTGCGCAACTTGAAAGTCCTGAATTTCGGTATTGAGCAAAATTTGTCATAAAGTTCATGATTTTAACTACATTTTTGAAAATAAAATTATTGAAAGTCATGGATTTAAGTCTAATCTAATTTTTAAAATGGAATTTACCCCCTCCCCCCAATTTCATGGTGTATCGAATATCTGAATTTGTAACAAAATCCCCACTCACAGTCATATTTGATTAAAATATAAAATGTTTTTATCATGTTCTTTAAAAATTATGGTTTTCTTTCAAAAAATGAAGGAAAAAACATCATTTCTAGAGCGAATTGTCTTTTAAACTTCTGTCATTTCAGAATTTTTATTGTTTTCTTATTATTTTTTATTTTAATTATTTAAAATTCTAGCTGAAACAAGCCTGTCATTGGCGAATTTTTTTTATTTCGAAATGAGAACAGAAAAGTCAGGAGTATTTCTTTGCTTGTCGATGAACAAGAAAAGTATCTTTACAATATAATTCTGCAGAAAAAACAAAAAGAAATTATTTGCTTTTGAATTTCTTTTTTACCTATTTTATTGATTCAACTCTTTCATTACTTTGTTTTTTAGATTTAAAATCTATAAATATGAAGATGCAGAGTATAACAGTTTTGTCTATACCTATCATTTCAATTAATGTTATTATAATGCTTTTTTAAATTTATTGTTGTGTTTTTTTCGGAGAGAATAGTAACTTAGTTAAATCATGAAAAATTCTTCAAATTAGTCATGGAAAGTCATGAATTTGAAAATCTAAAATATAGCAGATACCCTGCCTATGTGATTTTGCCTCTTTTCTATAATATATAAATTTATATGGATCAGCAAAAAATAAAGAATTTTAATTCAAGCTTCCAACAATGTTCAAAAATTAAATCTATGTTATTGAGCAGACAATTAATTCCTCTTTTTCTATTAATATATACCAGGGGTGGCGAACCTTTANTTTCTATTAGTATATAAATTTATATTCATTAGCAAAAAATAAAGAATTTTAATTCAGGCTTCCAACAATGTTCAAAAATTAAATCTATGTTATTGAGCAGACAATTAATTCCTCTTTTCTATTAATATATACATTTATATGGATTAAGAAGAAATAAAGAATTTTAATTCAAGCTTCCAACAATGTTCAAAAATTAAATCTATGTTATTGAGCAGACAATTAATTCCTCTTTTTCTATTAATATATACCAGGGGTGGCGAACCTTTATACACCAACGTGCCATTTTCTCTAAAAAATTGCTTAATGAGGTCATAGACGTGCCGTCAAATAATTTTGACTTCGTGATTATTGGGAAAATAATAATACTAAATACTATCAACTCAAAACTCATTATTTACATTGAAAAAAAAACATTTTGCAATGTCTCAGTTATACACGTAATTCAGCTTAAAGTCACAGTGTGACTTCTGTTGTTGCAGATTAGATGACCAATAACTTATATTAGGTTATAAGATGTTAGTTTAAGCAGGACTGTTGATTTTTTTTTGCTAGTTATTTATTGTTAGCTTGTTTTTTGCTAGTTATTTATTGTTAGTTTGTTTTTTATGGTTATTAATTGTGTTTTTAGTATTAATTTGTAATTTTTTTATCAATAATTGTTTATTATTTTGTTTGTTTTTGTGAATTTTAATTTCATTGCTAGGTATGCTTCATAGCGTAATAACATTTATGTAATAACAATTCATAAGTGTAACAACAATTGTGATCGGTGGAGTGTTCAAAATATTGTGTCGCGTGCCATAAATGGCACGCGTGCCATTGTTTCGCCATCCCTGATATATACATTTATAAGGATTAACAAAAAATAAAGAATTTTAATTCAAGCTTCCAACAGTGTTCAAAAATTAAAACTATGTTATTGAGCAGACAATCAATTTCCCTTTTCTTATTATATGCGTTTATATGGATTAATAAAAAATAAAGAATTTTAAATCGAGAAAAGAATTATATCTGAAATGAAGATTTTTAATTAGAACTGATGTCTGGAGAAAAAACTTGACTTAAATAACCCACCCACCCAATAACTCGGGGCTCACGAGGATTGAGGGTGCATGATCGAGAAATAATACACTATATGATAAGTGTGCACAACTCACACCCACCAACTCTTGATATGCGGCCCTCCCTAGTATCTAAATATAATAAAGAAATTTTTTCTTTGGAAAAAAAAAATGAAAATTTTGAATTAAGCAGTTAAGTTTTTTAATGCGCCAAATCTAAATCAATGTAATTGGTGGTTATCACTACAAATTTCCAAAGTTTTAGAAATCCCAATATTTTTAATATGACAAAATTATGATGTGTGAATTTCAAATTTTAGTAATCCCTTTTGAAGGTTTTTTTTTAAAGTCCATTTCATAGTTAATTTAAGAAACTTTTTGATCACGTTTTTGGAGGTTATTGTCGGATTTATACATGTTTCTTGATTTCCTGGTCTTTATAATACAATATAATAATGACTTTTGAATTGCGTAAATAGTAATCGCCTTTGATGTGCTTTATTTCGATCAATTTTATCATAAATCCAAGTTATTCTTATATTGTTTTTGGAATACTATGTATTTCCACTCGGTTTTAAAACCCCGATATATTTAATTTGTAATAGTATGATACTCGATTTCTGCATTTATATGTGCGTTTTATTTTGTGCCAATTTCATCACAAATCTAAGAAATTCTTTCTTCACCATTCTTTCAACAATTATTGCTACAGGGTGTTGAAAATCCTGATAATTTTTTAATCAAGTCCAGTGTTGACATGTGTCACATTTCTTGATGAGGTGCAATATGCATATATATGTGAGTGTGTGTATATATATACATAATATATATACAGGGTGCGTAGCATTTTTGAAAAGTGCTTAAAGGTGCTTATTTTCGACTTTCGTTTTTCAAAAGCCCTTAAAGGTGCTTTTTTCATTGGATGTTTTTAAAAAGTGCTCAACTTTCCCTCTTCCAAAATGAGATTGTTTTCTTTAGCATATCAATTTTTGCCTCGAATTACGCAAGAAGCGTGATTTTCACATTGTTCTATTCAACGTTTTCATAATTCATTCAACCACAATCTATTTCAACATGCCATCGGTCCGTAGCGTCTGAAAGCTCCAATCATTTTATGTAATACGTACTTGCGGGTTCAAATATTGAGCTGGATTCGGTGGGAAGGATTCGTGCATTCTCATGAACAGTTCTGCTGCATTTTGCAAGAGAGATAATCTTTTTAAATAATAGTGAAATTAATTATTTATAATTTGGAATAAAATGTTTTTTACATAATTGTGTAAAGTAATTATAAATTTAAAAAATTTAATGATTCACTCAATATTGAATGTATTTAAAATAGTGCATAAATTGTATTTATGGTGGCTAATATAATCATGAAAAAAATTCTCTGCCAGAAACTAGTTATTTTTATTATGATCATGTAAATTTAAAAACTATTTTGCATTTTCTTAACATATATATATATAACTGAAGAACTTTCAACAATATGAAGGTAAAAAAATTATTAGTGCACATATCCTAATTATAATATTTTTTAAAGTGCTTAAAAAGTACTTAAAAGGTGCTTATTTTTTGTTACAAAATTTGGCTACGCACCCTGGTATGTATATATATATATGTAGTGCCAGTTCCGATCTATAGTGCCAGTTCCTGTGCTGTAAGCTGATCTAGCTAGAATTCCAACCAGATTATGTAAGCTGCAAGTTAGACCCCATGCGAAATTCCCTAAGACAAGAGAGCGCGTTGTGGAACGAACTGAATAGGAGACGCTGATGGATTCCAGAGAGGAGTAGCAATGATAATTTTCTTTTAACTTCACAAAGACGAACTCATTTATTTATTTTGGTGTTATTTATGTGTTTGTTTATCGTCCATTTTTATGTAAATTTAGCGTTTAATATATGTTTTGTTAAAGTACAGTGTCACTCATTTTCAAAGATGACCACTCATGCTGTCCCCCCCATATATATATATATATATATATATATACATAATATACATACATTAGTGTTCCAGTAACATAAAAATTATACTTTGGATTTCATATTCTTACAATTTTAAAATCAGAGTTTTAATAAATAATACCTCACATCGATACTTTTATTAAAGCGCTGATAACATTCTGATGATAAATGCTTCTTGCATACAATTTTTTCTTGCTCAAATTTCAGTTATTTTTTTAATTATTTAAAAAGTGTTTTTGCTCATGACATTTCTATTTCAGCTTGTTTGGTTTTTTACTTTAACTCATCCCTGTCGTATAAATTAATATAGTTTCATAAAAATTAGAGAAAAAAATTTTAAAAAAGAGTCCATGATTTTTCAAACAAACTTCACTAAAATGAGATGAAACTTTGTTTCAAGAGTTAATAATCAGGGCTTGTAGAAACTTTTTCATTTTGTGTGGCTGTCTGCTAATTGCATTTTTTGTGATGTAGGGTAGACATTATACCAAAGAAAGAAATCAGTGATCTGGAGCGTGCTTGCAGGATACTAGTAGCCTGCATACACACCTTAGATCGAGAATTAAGAAGAACCATGAATCTCTACCATCTTTTTCCTTTGGTGCCAGATCTAGGTGAAGATGCAATTTGTACTCTCTTAATTATTATTGCTAATGTAAATGAAGGAGATTCTCAGTATAACATCCTGAATAACTTATGATTTAACACTAAACATTCCAACTCTATACCCATTTCTACCATAGCCCATCAAATGACCGGACTTTATGTTACTTGATTGAATGTATGAAATAGGGATGTTATTAAGGAAATAAACTGAAAAAACGGTATAATTAAACAAAATTGTATATTGCTAATGTTTATGTATTACGAACAATTATGTATTGGAAACAATTTTAATTTATTGCTCAAAGCATTTTTTACATATACAGGGTGTTTCCATTGTGCATTTTCCGCAAACATATTTATTCTAATCATTATTAATTCTTATATTATTGTAATTCATATTATTTCTTCTACGAGCTTGTGCTGTCTTATTGTTTCGACATTTTTCTGGATAAAAACTAACAGTTAGTTAGAAATGAAGTAGAGTTATCCAAATAAAATATAAGCTACTTACCAAAACATTTAGTTTTTGTCACACGGTTTTGCCACAAAACATTTACTCTTTCTGACACAAAAATGCCAATCTAAAATTTTAGGTACTTTCTGAATTCACAGTTTTTCTGATTGAACTAACTACGTAACAGTCTTTTCAGAAATGTGCAACTCATTGAATGCTATACGTCAGGGGTGGCGAACCTTTATACACCAATGTGCCAGTTTTTCTAAAAAATTGTTTAATGAGGTCATATACGTGCCGTCAAATAATTTTGACTCCGTAATTATTGGGAAAATAATAATACTAAATACTATCAACTCAAAACTCTTTATTTACATTGAAAAAAAATGCATATTGCAATATCTCAGTTATACGCGTAATTCAACTTTCAAGTAACATTAGTGTGACTTCTGTTGATGCAGATTAGATGACAAATAACTTATATTAGGTTGTAAGATGTTAGTTTAAGCAGGACTGTTAATTTTTTTTTTGCTAGTTATTTATTGTTAGCTTGTTTTTTATGGTTATTAATTGTTTTTTTAGCATTAATTGATAATTTTTTTATTAATAGTTGCTTATTACTTTGTTTGTTTTTGTGAATTTTAATTTAATTGTTACATATGCTTCATAGTGTAATATCATTTGTGTAATAACAATTCATTGTGTAATTACAATTGTGATGGGTGGCGTTCCCAAAATATTGTGTCTCGTGCCATAAATGGGACGCGTGCCATTGGTTTGCCATCCCTGCTATACATGAACATGCATTACATCGTAATTTCTGATCCGATAACCTTATAATGCAATAAATCATTCTCCCAGTCAAATAACTGGCTGTTTTAAAAATAGGTATACCATAAGTATTATTCAAAGCAAACAAAAAAAAAAAAAAACGACAAGATGATACGCGCATTTTCTATGGAAAAGTTCTTAAACGGTCATTTGAACGGTTATGGTATGTTCAGTGTTAATAATCAGGTTTTCACCTACTAGGACTTAATTGTTTAAGAGCCTGTCTTTAATTATTCTTGAATAGACCTTGATAAATATATACAGAAACTATTCAATCTAATTATTTTTGACAGATCAAATTTTAAATGCAAGCCTTTTTCAAAATTTTATTTTTCTCAGAAGCTGTTCAACAGATTCCATTCAATTTTGTGTTTTGCTATTTGAAATGACATTCTTTTAAAAAACATTATACCTTAAAATTTAAAGTTTTTTGATTTTTATTAAATAAAATTATTAAAAAATAAAAAATTTAAGTAAAAAAATTTTTTTTTTGCATGGAATTATAAATGGGTAAATGAATTTTATAATTGTGTGCAAAATTTTTTCATTTTGTTGAAACATGTAAAAAGTAAGATTAACATTAGGAAATGGGATCTTCAAAACCTGACTAAATTACTGGAACTCTTATTTTCCTCATTACGACTACCACCTTATTTTGAGAGTCAAAAATCTGAATCCATAAGAAATTTATGCGGAGATAGTATGTCTTTGTGTCTGATTTCCTAACTTAAAACATTGTCTGCACAAATTAAGTAATATATTTGATGTTAATCCATCAATTTTAGTCATGATATGTGAAAATAATTAATTCAGTTATAAAATAATTCATATTTTTTTAAAACTGTTTTTATATTTATATAATACATACGAAAATATTTTACATAAATATGAATGAAAAAGTTTTTTTTTAAATATTTGTGTACACTATTAGCTATATAAATATATATTCTGGGGCATTTCTAAAACATTTGATGTCAAATTAAGGGAATAACTTTTCCAAATTAGCTAAAACATGAAATTGATACTAATTACTAATCTGTAGTGTTGTTCCCTGTGGCAGAATTACGGCGACATTGTCAGAAATATTTTTCTTTGAAAAGTAAAAAATTTTGATTTTCTTTTTTGCAGAAATTTGGACGTTAAATTTGAATCACTTTTTAACATGCTTAAGTTATGCCGATTGTATTCTATTGTAAATCCATATAATGTTTCGATTGAATTTTCGGCAGTTATTGATACTGATTTTCACATATTGATATTCATATTGATATCCCAATATATATTTTAGACAATATTGAAAATTTAAATTGTGCATTTAAGTATTTACTTTTTAAAACAATGATTCTATTGATTATTTGGAAGTTATTGCTACTGATTTCCCACAGTTTTTAAAATCCGATACTTTTTATCTCATATTATTTATTAAAACAACTTTATCTCGGAAAGGAAGAGAGCTAAATTTCAGTTTAATACAATAAGCTGCTGATAAGCAAATTAGGACCACTTTTGATTAAACCAAAAAAATAAAATAAAATTTTCAATGTTTTCTTTTCTAGTTGTATATTGCAGCACACATGAATTAGGTATAAAAGTGTCAGTCTTATTTAAATTACTGATTTTTATCTATGTATTGTAACTCCCTCTGTGGCAGAATTTTTTTGAGCTATCTGCGACAAAACTCTCCAGCACCAATATCTTTCTGCAAGATACTTTTAATAATAACAAACATATATGTTACTCATTTAAAATAACAAAAGTTTCTGTACGTGTTAAAATAACAAAAGTTTGTGTAAAAAAGTCTTTTAAAAAAACTATATATTTTTATTTCATTGAACATGTTATAATTTTTTATTCTAATATTATGGGTGATATTCTTACGTACAAATTATTTCTTTCTTCACATTTTGTAAATAATCATAACAATAAAAAATAATTAAAAATCATAAGATCCGTAGTAGTAATTGCTGAAAAAAGTTTGACGACAAAATCCCTCGAATCGGACTTCGCAAATGCGTGTTTCATTTCGAGATTAGTATAAAAATATCGGATTTAAGAACTATGAAGAAATCAATAGCAATGACTGCCAAACATTCGATCGAATTACTGCCTTAAAAAATAAATAATCAAATGCAAGATTGGAATTCTTCATATTGTTTGAAATATATTGGATATTTAAAATCCACATAAAAATCAATGTCAATAGTTTGCGTCAATACCAATATCAATAACTGCAGAAAATACAACCTAAAAATTACATCGATTTATGATACTATTGGGGTAAATTGAATTGTGTCAAAAAGTGGTTATCTAATTGCATGATTCAAATATTACGTTTAAATTTCTGTAGAAAAGTTTTTTTAAAAGAAAAATCTTTCTGCAAGAACTGTGTACCATTCTGCGACAATGTCACAGTTTACTTGCGATTCTGCCACCGGGGTAACTCCTTTGGTGAAATAGGAATCAGTTGATCAAATAACACGTAACAAAGATATGTTAACAATGTCATTTTTATTCACAATACTCTTAAAAATACATTTGACACAGATTTCGTTTTGAAAATCCTGTTTTTTATTTAATAAACAACCATCAGCTGCATTCTTTCATGATATTAATTTGCATAGAATAACCACATGATTTAGCGATGAAGCTTCCCATTTTGTGTACTATATTGCTATATAATTTGCACTTGTTTACGTTCTTGTATCAATTGGTTAAATTAGATGCTAGATGATATAAATTTGATGATTAAATAAATTAGACAAAAATATTAGATAAATATAGGATATTTATTATATCAGATATTATATTACATCATTATAATGATTAGACCAAATTATTAGACGCACTGTAGTTTTTTAATAATTGCATGTTTTGCACGAGTTTATATGCAATACTTTTATGTTTAAACATACATGTAATGGGGTTTTTATTCAGGAGATTTTTTATATACTTCCTATTTGTATTTATTTTTAACATATTTCATTGCAATGTCAATTAACTGATATCACATAATATCATATAGAAATAATAAAGCTGTATAGTTTCACCTGATAATTAAGATTTTACATAGAATCTTATAGTGCGTCTAATAATTTGGCCAGGAACTGTATATTTATATATATTTTTATTTATTTATTTATTTATTTATTTATTTTGTATTATCAAGCCAACACTTTTGCATAAAGTAAATAAGTTCTTTACTGAACAAAAAAATAAATTTTTGTTGAAACATATACATACTATACTTCCAGAGTTCTCCCTGAGAATAAAAAAGGGTAGAGGGCTTCCTCTCGGAATAGGGCATTTTGAGTTTTGAAGGGGCAGTCACTTAACATTGTAAATATTCATCAAAATATGTAAAATTGTAATATTTAAAACTGAATTTTATCCTCAACAATTTTTAAATTACCCTCTCATACTATCTTATGAGTATATTTCAAAAAATAAATCTTTCTCATTATCGAAATATGAGAAAAATTTGTAGTTTTAAAGGCAATCTCTGTGCATATTCTTTTCCTCAAAAACAAATTACATATAATTAATTGATAAACAGCTTGAAAGCTTTTTTCTATAATTTAAGCTAACAATTATGAGAAAATAAACTTTTGAAGGTTTTTTTTTTAAATATTTATTTATTAAAAAGAATAGTTTTTAAAATCACTTGAAAAATTTATTTATATCCCCCCCCCCAAAAAAAAGATACTTATAAAAATTTAATCAGCTGAAAATAATCTTAACAAAGTAAATGTCTGTCGTAATCAGAATTCAACCTATGAACACATAATTTTTCCAATGTGTAATTATTATTTAAACAGTGAATAAATTTTTTTCAGAATATAATCTGAATAATGGCAGCTTGTTTTTACAAAGAGGGCACACTTATTGGGATCAAAGGGCAAGCAGAGTGGGCCGCCCTTCAAAAAATGCTTCGGGAGAACACTGCTACTTCTATCTCTGTTTGTACCTCAAAAAGGAAATTATTGAAAATCTGTCTAGTTTAGGACTTGATAACCATTATAAAAAGTAGAATCATGAGATTTTGTTTGTATTTTTTAGAATGTACAAAAGAGTCTCACCTTGTAAAGACTGGTTACTTTGAAAAGAATGATTTTAAAGTTCCTCCTCTGCTTTCATTTCATGCTTCTCCTTCAGAAAAATATTTGAAGGAGAGAGAAAGTTGGAAAGAGCTTGAGAAGTAAGCATATTTCTCCAAGAGTTATATAAGTTTAGAATGTATAAGTTAAGTCCGAGAGTTATTAACTTCTGTTTAAGTTCTCTGAATCAGTTTTAGTAGATCGAAATCTTTTATTCTGTAACGAAAATGTACACTACTGGCAATTAAAATTGCTACACCTAGAAGGAATGCAAATAACAGAATGATATTTATTGTGCACATATATTATAGTTGGAGGAACAAGTGATTAAATTTTCAGATGCCTTCCTGATGCTGTATNATTTATTGGGCACATACATTATAGTTGGAGGAAATCTTTTATATTCTGTAACAAAAATGTACACTACTGGCAATTAAAATTGCTACACCTAGAAGGAATGCAAATAACAGAATGATATTTATTGTGCACATATATTATAGTTGGAGGAACAAGTGATTAAATTTTCAGATGCCTTCCTGATGCTGTATACAGATCCTGGATTCGTCTGAAAAGACGACGTCATGCCATTCCTGCGTCCAGGTTTGTCGTTGATCACACCATTGGTGGCGCTCCTGAATGTGATGCAGCGTAAAGGGTAGCTGCAGTGATGGTCACCGTGCGAACAGTCCATGCTGCTGCAAACGATGTCGAACTGTTCGTGCAGGCACTTATTTTCTTGTCAATTACCCCATTTGTTTACTCAGTGCTCGCTCGTGACGTAGCTGTATGATCTCTTTAAGCCATGTAGATAGCATGTCTGTCTTCTCGGCTGTTAGTGATCTGGGGCCACTGAGATCCCGCACGGCGTTCCATACGATCCTCATGAACCCATCCATATCCTGCTAACAGTCATAGGATCTCGTCCAATGCGAGCAGCATTACTTTGGTATGATAAACCGCAATCCCAGTAGGCCACAATTCGAACTTAGACATGTGCCGGTAGGCATTTCTCCTTTTTACACGAGGCATAACAAAAACTTTTTTACCCAAGAACAACGCTCAAATTCAATTTCTGTTTGAGAAACTTACTGTCAAATCTCTTCTTTTATACATATTGTAGGTGTCGCTATCACCGCCTTCTTTGCATGAATGCACCAATAAGCTAATTATTTGCATACCACAACACACTTTATCCGTCCTGTAAATTTCACATTCGTGGTGTATCACCTTCCTGGTGTAGCAATTTCAATGGCCAGTAGTATATTACCACACCAGATGTTTTGATTTTTGTAAACTTTGAGTCAATTAAGTTAAAGGAACGAAAGAAATAAAATTAAGTTACCTCTTGAAGATTAAAATGCTTCTGCTCTGTACAATGTTTTTATAGCAGAATAATCAAATTAAGAAGGTGTGAGACACATAAAAAAACTGATAATAAAGAAATATTTACAGTCATAAGCTAAGCTTATGACCTCCATTTTGACATGGATGATAATTTTTAGTAAAAATTAGTTGTTAAAAAAATAAATGTATATTTATCCAGTGAAGCTTGTTGTAAAAGAGTACACATATTTTTGGAGCATAAATCAAAACCAATATGACAACTAAATTTTCATTTTTTAAAAAAGAAATTACTCTAAGCTTTATTATATTTTATTTCTTTCGTTCTTTTAATTTAAATATTTTTTTTTTAAAGTTAGAATATTTTCCATTTGGGCCAAATAAAAGTAAGTTTTGCATTAATCAATCATTTTACCAATCATGTACTAAGTTATCATTAATGTTGAAAACATTAAAGTAGTTGTATAAAACTAGACGAAATATGAACTAATTGGATTTTATGCAATCTTTCAATTGGGCAGGATTTTCATTAAAAGTTTTGTGCTCCAAAACATTGTGTAGGGGAAATCATCTTTGTTTTAAATGCTGTTCAAACTGTAGTGTATGTACCACTACAAAAATACAATTCCAATTCCCTAGTTTATGAGACATATTAACTCGATTCTATATTTGGGGTACCTTTTCATAGACGAAGGTTGACATGGTCGATACCTCCCCTCAGAAAACTAAATAAAAGTGTAAAAAAAAATTGAGATGGTTTTCAATGACTGCATAAAATTTTGTTTCTGTTTACAGTTATTGGGAGAGATTCTTGAGTGCACTTTTAATACTTAAAAGATGTCTTCCATTCTCCCTACATACAGGGTATCCGCACACCTGGAAAGTCATGGAAACTCATGAATTTCAGTATTGAACAAAATTTGCCATGAAATGTCATGATTTTAACAAAGCATGTATTTTAAAAAATTGTATGTATTTTAAAAAAACATGAAAAGTCATGGATTTAGGTCGCCGAAAAATTTTATTTTTAAAATGGAATTTGCCTCCTCTCCCGAATTTCATGGTGTTCCAAATGTCTAAATTTGTAACAAAATCTCCACTCACAGTCGTATTTGATTAAAATATAAACTGTTTTTATCCGTGTTCTTTAAAAATTATGGTGTTCTTTCAAAAAATGAAAGAAAAAACATTTCTAGAGGGAATTATCTTTTAAACTTCTGTGATTTCAGAATTATCATTATTATTTATTTTTTAATTTTACCAATTTAAAATGCAAGCCAGAAAATGGTAAAAATTTTTTTTATGCGGAAATGAGAACTGATAAATCAGGAGTATTTCTTTCCTTTCTGATGAACAAGAAAAGTATCTTTAGAATATAATTCTGCAGAAAAGAAAAAAAAATTATTTGTTTAGCTATTTTATTGCTTCAACACTTTCTTTATTCTGTTTATTAAATTTAAAATCAATAAATATGAAGATGCAGAGTATAACAGTTTTGGTTATACCTATCATTTCAATTTATGTTATCATAATGCTTTTTAAATTTATTATTCTGTTTTTGTCAGAAAAAATGGTAACTTCGTTAAGTCATGAAAAGTTCTTAGAATTAGTCATGAATTTGAAAATCTAAAATGTAGCAGATACCCTGTACATAGATAATTTAAAGTATAGTAAATTATGAATTTTGAAAAGTTGAGGTATTATCCACTTACTACTTTTTTTTGTTTTTGTTTCGAGATTATTGAAACCCTACTTTATAATTGACATTTGAGCAAATTTTAATTCAATATTGGTATGAGGAAATGTTAACTATTTGATAGTGGTCATTTTTTTAACACAACAGAATTGTATAAAAAAATTTCTATTTATTGATATCAAATTATTATGAGTTGTTCAGTGTTTTCTTAATGAATTTTTTTTGGAAACCATTAAGACTTTCTGTTCTAAGCAAAGTAATTCTGAAATTAAAAATAGTATTTTTTTATTATTCTTTTGCTGTAAAATTAGCTTTTATTATGCTTAAGTAAAGTGTTGGAACTTTTTAAAAGTGTGCCAAGTATATTTATACTGTTCCAAAAAAAAAAGGCCCTCTACAAAGCCTGTATACTAATACCTAGTTATAGATTATTTTTCATTTTACCATTTGTTTTGTTGCTAAATGACTAATGTGGTACCTAAAATACAAGTAATAACTTCAAAATGTGTTACAATCAATTGACTTTGAAATTAGTAAATTTACATTAAGTACAAAAAATTTTAATTAGCAAAATTACAATGTTTGTAAATTTTGGCTTAATCGCACTCTTTTTCTCTTCAGCTTGAACAATAAATGTTTGATATTAGTGATGGATTACTGTTAATTTTCTGTAAATACAGAAAGTCCCTCATTGTTTCTAAGGCCATAAAGCCTTATGAAAATGTTGGCACTCGTTGTATTCAGTTGCAATTCTCCAGTTTCATTAACCATTTCTTGATCTGACACCACAAGTTTCAATATTCTCATCAACTGATTACTTAACAGCTTCCCTTACCAACTTTTTCCAAGAAAAAAAAAGCAAAAATTCAACTTATTTTTTTATTTCATTAATAAATGCAAGGAACTAAAACAAAACCTAATACACAGGTTTTTGGTTGAAATTTAAAAATTTTTTTATGTATAAAAAAACATTTAATTTACGATCAGCTTACTATCCGAGTTATCAAGGGGAAGAGGAAAAAATTTAAATATTAGTCTTCGTGTGGTAGTTTTTAAAACAAGGAAAGTGATACTTTCCAAGCACCAGTGAAATTATATGCTATTATTTCACCCTTTTTTTTCTATGTAAATTCAGCAACCATCGCACAAAACACGTTTGCAGTCCCACAATCCAACAGCAAAACTTGCAAACAAAACTTGGCATACTTCCAATCACAGCAGATTATTATTTTTTGCTTCCAGCCGAGTAAAAATGTGATAAAGCAAAACTTACTAACAAATTCTGCTACACCGAGTTATCTCAGGATAATAAATATTTGCAATATACCCCCAGTTAACTGGGATAATCAGGGAAGCAGTTAAACATCAACAACAGGCTAATTAGGGCATTTTTGCCAATTGGTAACAAATTATCTTCATTTTCTTTTTTGTCAATAGTATCAGAAATTGCTGTTTTTCTTCTGGAAACAAAATAACTTCAATATTTTTTTTTTAAGTCGTGAGAATTTCTGGTAATTACGAAAATGGGCATTGTTAACATTATGAAAGCAGCATTTGTGGCAAGATGATACCTGTGGGGATGGTAGTTACCGACAATGTCAATTTTCATCTACGAAAAGGTACCCAAAGAATCATAAAATCGAGCCATAGAATCGAGTTAACATATCTTATATAATAGGGAATTGGAATTATATTTTCGTAGTGGTAGATACACTACGATACCTAAAATGAAAGATGGGGAAATAATCGATCAAGGTTCAACTGCAACTGAAAAACCATTTTCTTCATTATATTTTTTATAGAGAGATCTTGAGAGTGCATGATTTGGATGTAGAACTTCATAGAGACAGTGTACTGGGGCCAATATTAGACTACTTAACTCTCTGCCCAATGGGTAAGGAATATTTTACATTTATGATTTTTTCCTCATGAATAATAACATTTTGAACAATTTGTAATAAAAGGGTTTTTTTATTATTTTAATCTCTATTATGTAATCAAGTAAAGTTAGGCTGTTAAGGTTTTTAAGAGTGTGGGGTCTGTGTACGCCCATGACCTTTCAAGTTGACTTTGAAAGGGAATTGTATCTTCAAATTTTAAGTAAAGCGTAATGCCCAAATTTTCTTTTTGATTCAAAGCTTGATTCTTTATAATAATTTTTATTCTTTTCTTTGAAAAGGGAAGTAATTTGTTCTGATAAAATGGAATAAGTCCTACAATTTTATTTTCGATGTGGAATTGTTCTTTTAACGGCTTCCTTTTTTTTAAAAAATTTAACCTGGATTAATTTTTTTTGTTCTTCTACAGGGTGCGTAGCGTTTTTGAAAAGTGCTTAAAGGTGCTTATTTTTAATTTTCATTTTTAAAAGCCTTTAAAGGTGCTTTTTTTATTGGATGTTTTTAAAAAGTGCTTAAGTTTTCCCTTTTCGAAAATGAGATTTTTTTTCCCTTTACTATCTCGATTTTCGCCATGCATTATACAAAAGCGTTGTTTTCACATTCAACATTGATCATTCAAACACAAAGCATTTCAGCCTACCATCGTTCCGTAGCATATGAAAGCGCCAATAATTTTACATGTTTGATGAAATGCTTGCGGGTCCGCGTGTGCATATACTGAGCTTTATTCAGTAGGAATTATTCTTACACTATCATGTGCAACTCAGCTGCATTTTGCAAGAGATTCTCAATTTCCGACTTCATTTTCCTCCCTCTGAAATCGTTCTAAAAATCTCTTTATGGTGGCTAATGTAATCAAGAAAAAGAGTTCTTTGTCAGAAACTAATTATTTTATCATGATCAAATAAAATATTATTTTGCAATTTTTTAATGTATATAGTGCTTAAAAATATTTTTTATTTGCTTAGAAAGTACTTAAAAGGTGCTTACTTTTTGTCGAAAGATTTGGCTACACACCCTGTTCTAATTTTAGTTTATTTGGGATTAAGTAAGCTTATTAATTTGTCTCTTAATTACGTTAAATGGACATTTTTAATTTGATAGAGGACATCACACATTGAAAAATAAATTTTGCTTTTGGTAAAAATATTCATGTTGAAGTAATTTGATAGATAAATCTGTATTTTGTTTTACTAAATTTCAATTTAATTCATTGTTATGGTACACATGCTATAAAAAAAATCTTGAGCTAAAAAGAGTCAACTGTTTTCATATCTATTTCTGATCTAATAAGCAATGAAATATTTGGAACAAAAACTACCTCTAACTGATATTTATGAAATCATATGGATGGTGTTTTCAATATAAATGTAAACAACGACAATCTCAAGCTCTTGACCTGCTCGACTTCCGATTAGAAAGTATACAGCTGCTTACTACAGCTTATTCTGCGAGGCGAGATTTTCAAACAGATAATTTTAATTATTAATAAAAGAAATAAATTATATAATTTCTGAGCTCAAATCTGCTGTATTTTGTTAGATATCAATGATATTAAGTTATTCTAGTGAGTTTGAAGTGAAAATTTGTTTTACTTAATTAGAGATGTATTGTTAAAAAAGGTGACTTGGTTGCTAGATTTAGAAAGAACTCGCTTTTTGGCAGTTCTGATTTGACCACTTTTTACTTGATTTTGACCACTTTTTACTTTGTATTGGGAGAAATTTTACCTTCGCGAAGGACATTTTTGGCAATTCTGATTTTACCTCTTTTTTTAGTTGTTTATTACTGTTTGTTCTTGTTGCAAGCCGTGTACCATCATATGATTGTTCGAGCAGCAAGTTTAAGTTCATTTTACAATTTTTAATTTAGGTTTGAATTTCGAAGTTGGTACATTGTTAACAAGGTAAAAAGTGTTTTATAACGATTCTTTTTTCAAATGATAACTCTAATGTCTTAAAATGGTAGGTTTTCAAATAAGGATTCTTTTTTTAAACGCAAATAATAAATCAGGCTACAAATACAAGAATTACTACTCTAGAGCCTTGTGTCAGAATTTTTTCGAGCTACCTGCTACAAAACTCTTTAACACTAATATCTTTAGGCATTATGCTTTTAATAATAACAAACGTATATGTTGCTAATTTAAAATAGCAAAAGCGCTGTTGTAGATATTGTTGTGTGTGATGCTAAATAATGAAATAATTCAACCTCTTTTGAATTATTATATTTCACAACACAAATGCATATATGGGTTAAAAACCACAGTAATACTTTTATATAAATATATAAGAATTTATATCTGAAACGGGCCGAAGCCTGCACATACATCCGCTGGCATCGGAATTTTTCTTACATCTACTACAACAATGACAACACGTGACTATGTGCACCGCAAGTTGGTTCGGCATGCACAGTGAGTTCGAGCCCCTGTGTTTACAAAAAAAAACTACATAATTTTTTCTTATTTAACATGTAATAATTTTTATTCTAATATTAAGGGTGATATTCTTGCATTTTGTTCGCAGGGGGGACTCACCAATTATTTCTTTCTTCGCTTTTTGTAAATAATTATCACAATAAAAAAAATAATTTAAAATTATGAAAACCGTAGTAGTAATTGGCGAAAAAGCGACAATTGGCGACAACGAAATCGTGTGAATTGGACTCCTCAAATGCGTGTTTCGTTTCGAAATTAGTTTGTATCAAGTAATATCATATAAAAAAATATCGGATTTAAAAACTATTGAGAAAACAATAGCAATAACTGCCCAACATAAGATAGAATTATTGCCTTAGAAAGTAAATACTCAAATGCACGATTCGAATTTTCCATATTGTTTGAAATATATCGGAATATTTAAAATTCACGTGAATATCAACAACTGCCGAAAATACAATTGAAACGTGACATCAATTTACGATACTATTGGCGTAAATTGAGCATGTCAAAAAGTGATTATCTAAATATATGGTTCAGATATTGCATGTAAATTTCTGTAGAAACAAAAAGTAATTTTTTTTACTTTTCAAAAAAAAAATCTTTCTGCAAGAACTCTGTAACGTTCTGCGACAATGTTGCCGTGTAGCTGCAATTCTGCCACAAGACTCTAGAGAGTCCCAAATGGCTTAAAAACACACCACAAACAGTAACCCTGAAGTATAGGCAGTCAAGAGCTTGTGTAGAAAACCCCATCCATAAATAACTTTTATTATCTGTAGGAGAAATACCAGGAAGTACAGTCTCGCTTGATGATACCAGTGACTTGCCTGCTGGATACTGTGTAAGTCAGTTTTTCTTTTATACCTTTTTTCTTCTTAAATTTATATATCGATACTTTTTATCTGCCCATTTGTATTTAACTTTTGTTAAGACACAAAAATAGCTGGTTATAATTTCAATATATTTGGTGGATTTTCAAAATATTTCTTATATTAAAAGTAAGTACGATTTCTTATATTCATATTAACAATGCAGGGTTACCACAGGCGACTAAAATGCAACTATTTGCAACTATTTTTGGCATGAGGTGACTATGGCAACTTTTTTTTGCCTGAAAAGGCTAAAAAAGCAACTATTTCCAGAAAAAGGAGACTATTGGGAGAGTTTTCTGCACTCCTAGCTATGTTTTTTTTTTAAGGTGAATTGAGCGGAAAATCTGCACCCCACAAGATAGTTTCTGAACACACTGAACTTTTTTTTCCTTAAAAAATAAAAAATGCTGAAAATTTTGAATTGCAAATTTGAGTCTTCACTTTTTAATTCGTTCAATCTGCACAGACTCCATTGTAAGTCAATTTCATTTCTCGACCGCCTTTTCAATGATTATTGCTATGAAATTCCGCATGATTTTTAATAAAGTTTTTGTATACGATATTACGATGCGTGAATTTCGAATTTGAGTAATCAATTTTCATATATATATTTATATAAACATTAAAGTTTATATAAAAATTATCATATTTGTCACCAACTTGACTGAATGGATCATGGTATACGACAATTAAGTCATTAACAAAACTTTAGTCATATTTTTGATGAATTTTTGTTCTTATTTAGGCAACTATTTTCCTAGTTTTTGGCTACTATTTTCATGCTTTAAGCTACTAAACGCAACTATTTTGTTCATTTTTTTCTGTGGCAACCCTGCAATGCAAATATATATATATATAATTTTCAGTGTAAACCTAAAGAAAGAAGTAAAAAAGTATTACTTTTTTCACATAAAACCATTTTTTGACACAAATATTTTTTTTGAAAAGGGTTTTCTTTACACCTGGTACCATGTTAAAATAGGGCTGCATAGCTGCCAGCTCTACTGGATTTCCCAGTCAAATCCCTATTGAAATAGAATTTTTGTACAGATTATTGCTTGCTGAATATGTAGATAAGTATTACTAAGTATTACATAATGAAGCGAACCTCATTTATAGAAATAAGTTCAAAACTTTTTTTGTTATAAAATGTCCAGTTTGTTCAGAATATGTTTGTTCAGAATCAATATTTTCCAGGTGTTCAGAACTCTCTATTTAAATTAATTAAAAAAATCTTTTAACTATCTTTGATGAATTAAATGCTTTTTAATATTTGAATTTATGAGTACTATATATAATACATAACATTTCAAATGTGTTTAATGTCAATCATAACTGGAAAATATTTCAATTTTTATATTTTTATGATTATAAAAATACCTAAAATTCCCTATGTGTAAAATGTTTAGTACATTATGCAATAATTATCATGAAATTTATATTATATCTACTGGATTTTTTTCCCTGTCCATATTGGCAGCTATGGGGCTGAATAAATGAGTTTGACTGTATCAGGCTTATTTTAATTTTTCTCTAAGTTGAACCCTGGCATTTTTGTGTTTTAGGAATAAAAATAATTTTTTGTTATGCATTGTTGTATTGTTTTAAATCTATGCAAGTTTAGTTTGTCTAAGCTAAGAAATCCTCATTCCACAAAGTCTGAGGCCGTCTGTTGCTATGGAAACAAGAATGGCATATTTTAGGCAGGGTAGCTTCACTTTAGGATTAACATAATAAACCAAAGAAAGAGATTCCTTTTCTCATGCAGAAACCACTCCAAAACAGTGACCTCGCACCCCTACTTGAAATAGTCATACTTTGTTACCGTAGTCACCGCCGCAGGTCCAGACGAATGTCTGGGGGAGTTCTTATTTTAGACAAACTATAATATTGGTTGTTTAGTATATTTTGTGTTGCAGGATGAAGAGACCCTGTTTCAGAAGAAAAGCAACTTGATCTGCTACATTTCAGCCATTATTGCTGTGGCTTGTATCGGGGGTGGAGTATTGATGGGAGTCATCTTCATGATGGTACAATGAATCTTCTTCTGACATTAACATGAAAGATCCGTCCACTCGATGATCCCGATCGATCTCTCAGGAGTTGAGGAGAAAGAAGCTCAAACAGTCCCTTGCAAAAACTCTTTAATAGCTAGACTCCAATAGCTAGACAATGGATGAAAGTTTATTAACTTATTGTAACTACACTAATATGCCACAGTTGTTGCAGCTCACACCTACAACAGCAGTTTTGAGGGACCCTTCCTACTTTAAATATTAAGAATGATATAATGATCTCAAAGTCATTGAGGAACCCTGTGGCAGAATTTTAATCGGGCTTTCTGCGACATACCTCTCTAGTACTAATATTTTTTTACAAGATCAAAAATAGCAAATATGCATGTTACTAATTTAAAGTACCAAAAGCATAAACTTCAAAAAAAAAATAATAATTATAAATAAAAATTGGATCAAATAAAAAAATTTTTTAAATTGAATATGTAATATTTTTTTTCTAATATTTTGGGCGATATTCGCGCCTTTTGTTGGGGAATAACACACTAATTATTTCCTTTTTTGCACATTTGTAATTCAACATCACATTAAAATTAAAAAAATCGGGAAATTCTTAGCAGCAACTACCGAAAAAAAAAGATCAACTGCTAAATCATGCTAATCAGACTCTTTAAAAAGGGGTTACTAAATGCGTGTTTTCTTTTCGAGATTCAGTTGTTGTAATAAATAATACTGTATTAAAAATATCGGATTTTAAAAGCTATGTGGAAATCAATAGTAATAACTGCATGAAAAAATAGAACGAAAATTTCTACGGAAAAGAAAACCAAATTGTTTACTTCATTGCTTTTTATTTTTAACTGTCCTCAAATACAAAATAGAAAAATCACAAGCATTTTTTCCTCACTCCAATGAGTGTGAAAAGCATCTTTTAAATATAATTCTGTATAAAAGATAAAAATCTTTCGAAAATTCATGCAGAAAATAAAAGCAAAATATTTTTACTTCCTAAAGAAAATATCTTTCTGCTAGAACTCGGTAACGTTCTGAAACTATGTTGCTGTAACGCATGATTCTGCCACAGGGTTGGGGAACTACTTACAAAATGATTTGAAATGTTTTATTTCAGTTGTAAAATCTATCTACAGAATATCTCGGTGATTAAAGTTACTGAGCTGTCAATGTGCAGGATTGAGATTTGATCCTCAGGGGTGGCTCGAAGACCACCCAGCTGCATATCGACTGGCACCAGCTTGCCTGGAAAGTAAAGGCTGTCAGTGCACAATGCTATCATCATTCCATTGGTCACAAAATTATGTGGAGCCTTAACCGCTTCCCGTACCAATTTTTTTAAAGAAAAAAAATGCCAAAAAATCAATATTTTTCTTTTATTTTACTAATGAATACAAGAAACTCAAACAAAACATAATACACAAGTTCTAAGTTGAAATTTAAATTCTTTTATGTGTAAAAAATATCTATAATTTACCATCAGTTTACTATCCCAAATTATCTTGGGCAAATGAAAAAGTTAAATATTGCTATTCTTTTGTATATGTTCACATCTTCATAATCTGAAAAATCATCTGCTTTACTTTCGCTCGCAAACACCATTTTTTTACTCTTTTTTCTTTATAAATTCATCAACCATCATATATACAATTGCACAAAATACGTCTGCAGTCCCAATAACAGCAAAACTCCCAAACAAAAATTGGCAAACTTCCAATCACAGCAGATTAGTATTATTTTTTGTTTTGCTGACGGAATAAAAGCGTGATAAAACAAAACGTATTGACGAATTCTGCTATGATCGAGTTTACTCGGGATAATAAATACTTGCAATATATATGTACACGAGTTAACTCGGGATAATTAGGGAAGCGGTTAACCTCTGTGACTGCCTTGGCTTACAGCGGGCTGTTGCAAGAATAATTTTTATTTTGTTTTCAGCTATTTGGATAATTTAAGTTCTACTTTGCTTTCCAAAAATGTATATACAATAATACTTTCATTGATATTTTATTCATAAATATTGCACTTGTAATCTATGTTATTCATAGAGAGAATCTTTATTCAAACAGAGCATTTAAACAAATTATTAATTTTATAACTAAACTGTAGAACTCCAATAATCTGGAATGTCGTTCAGATTGTTTTGGGAACAAAGAAGATAAATTATAAAACTCAATGATGCCAACTACTTCGGATTTTCTATAATTTTTATTCTATTCAGAATTATTTAAGTCTTTGTAAAAACTTTTATTTCCTGGTATGGTGAGCTTGAAAAATATATATCACCCTAAATATCTTTTGGTCTAATAATCAGGTTAAGTACTAGTCTTAGTGATTCAAGGGGTTGTCCTCAAACTTGATAAATAATTAGTTTTCATTGTAGATAAATTTTTGAGATCAGATGCAAAAACTTATTTTTTCTGATATAACTTACTTAAAAAAAAAAGAAAGAAAGAAAGATTTAGAAACCCCGAATATATGAGAGTAACTGTTAGCTGCAAAATGTCGACATAATAGTTTAGTCAAGAGAGGCCAAAAGTTTGCCCCCCTTTTGCTGTTAATTTCACTTTTTGTTTTCAATAAGAAAGATTAAAAAAAAAAAAATCAGAAATTTTTTCTAATATTATAAAATTTCAAGTTTATCTAAAAATGATTCCATGCGAAAAATAGTTTTTATAATTATATATTATTATTTTTTAGTGTTAAGACTATTAAAGGTCAAAAATATTGTGAAAGTAAGGTATAAAAATGTTTATTTTTAATAAAAAAATATAAAATTTGTGTGAATTCGGTCAAATAGTTGAGTAAGAAAATTTCAAAAAAGCATATTTTTAAATTTAGTTTTCTAAAAAACTATTCAGTTAATTTTGCTCCTAGTTTGTATTTTTTAATTTAAAGATTTTGTAGTTTAAAGATTAAGTTTTAAGTGATGTAGTACAAATTGTTTCTACCATTATTAAAGTAAATTATAAAAAAATATAATAAATAATTTTGAAAAATTCTTTTTTACATCAAATTATAAGTTTTCCAATTGTGTTTAAAAAGTTTCTTATTTGTCAATAGGGACATACGAAATGTCAATAGGGAAATACAGCTATATTTTTGTGCATAGTATTAAATGTTCATATTTTAAACTTGTAATTTGTGAAGAATATGTTTTCTGTCTAAAAGAATACTGAAAAAACACAAAGAAAGTATTTAAGCACTGCCTTATTTAAAGTATTTTTAAAAAAGAAATGCAAAAATGCTTATTTAATCAACTCCCCCCCCCCAAAAAAAATAATAATAATTGTATGAAATGGATATGTTTTAAACTGATCTTATTAAAGCGTAGCTTGATTTGAAGTTAATTTATAAAATCATTTTGATAAATCTTAATTTTGTACGGCTTTTTAAAAAAAAAAAAATTTTTTTTTACTTCTCAGGGGTCTTTTCAGGGCAAGTTTACTACTGCTTAGCAGTACCTTCACAAATTCAACTTTAGGAAAACCAGTAGTTTCACAAAATGCTTTTATAAAAGCAAGTTCTAAGATTCTTCTCCAGACCTCTTAAAATTTTGTTTTTGTTTCCCCTTAAGAGAAGGTAGCACATACTTCGTCAGATAGTGCGGTGTGGTAAGCCTAACCAGTTGCTTACGACATATTATAGCGAGTTTTTTTTCTCTCAATTAAACGACGAGGCGCTCCTTCTGTAAGCTTTACTGGAAGTTGAAATTCGAACATTATTCTAAACATTCAAACATTGTTCTAAATTTATTCTAACAGACCTTTAGTTTTTTAATAAAACATTTTTTTCTCTGCAAAACTTTTTTCTGTGTGACGGGAAATGAAAATAACTTTTAGTGCAAGTAATACTGTTAAATGCATGTTTTTTTTAAAATTCAAGTTGAAATTTAACAATGATTTTTATGGATTTTTAAATTTGGATACAATGCATGTTTTTTTTAAAATTCAAGTTGAAATTTAACAATGATTTTTATGGATTTTTAAATTTGGATACAATTTTAAGCCCAAAATTTTACAATAGCAAAATTATTTTTGAATATATGGGGGAAAATATCTAAAAATTTACCAGTCATAAATGATTTTTATTTGAAGTGACAATTTTTGAAAATATCTTCTTACTTTACCATATTCTTGTGTTGATTTTTTAACATAATTTTTAATTTTCACAAATTATGTCGAAATTTTCACAAAATAGGTACCTCTCATAAAAACATTAGAGAAGAAATTCAATCTTAGTAGATGAAACCCAATCTTGTCATTTGAAATATATCATTGTTAGTCAAATCTAGTCATAAATTGTTTTTTTATTTATTATTATTATTAAAGTATAATTAAAAACAAAATTTTTCCCCTTGAGAAACCATCAGTGAACTCTCAATGCTGAATTTTTGGAAGAAGGTGCCAACTGGAGTTCCACTGTATTTAGTTCCTTTTTTTTAACTGCAACAATTTATGATAACCATCTTAGCTAATTAATGTGTACATAATTAAAACTATAAAATGATTTCTTGTCTTTTAAAGATATCTATGTAAATATATAATGGTGCGGTATCAAATGTCGAAAGAATTCGGGTATTAAAAGCGTCTAGCTATTGGAGATTCATAGAAAAGGAACTGCTACAGTCTGTGAATATGTAATTATATTATTTTTGTTAAACAGATATTTTATTTAAAGTAAGAGTTTGTCGAACAAAATATTCAAATCGGATGCTCTCGAAATACGAGGTGTGATGGACAGGATTATTATGTCATATCAAGAAAATTTTTTATGTCTTTGTTAGTTTGCATGTTTTCCAATTTGTTCTTTGCTGATAATACAATAAGCAGTCTTAAATTGTACTTGTTGACCCAAACAGCAGAGATTCATTCAAGCTGGTTATTTCTATAGGAATAATTTAAACAGTGATGTTTAAATTTTTAGAACCACATTAGGTTGGCATAGAACCTAAATTGATTTTTAAATCAAAAGATTCCTTTCATTATTAATGTAACAAAATTCCCTGAACTTCAATTGAATATGAATATTTACTTCTTAAATCAAGCATTTGAACTAAACTTAATTGTTCTGTGCATGATTGCTTTTCCTGCTTCTTTTTTCTTGTAGTGTTAACTCGAATTGTTGCTAATAGATTAGGAGGAAAAGATTTATATGATAAATATTAACATAACATTTAATGAAAAATGTTGTTTTAACTCTCCAAAATATTAGTTCTAGAAACTACTTATTTTATAAGCTATATATAATTAGTTATTAAATTATATAAAGAGCAAAATATTTAATTTTTTAGTACATTCAAATCAATCAACTCTTTTATCTTCTTAATTTCTTCCTTATTAATAAGAATCATTGGTTCCAGTTACTTGTAACTGGAAATATGCAGTATACAAAAAAAGATTTTTACAGATCATTTTAAACTGCAGCGTTGATTGCAGACTTATGATCGGCATTTAAAGTCAACTTATTATGGTTAATTTTGACAGCTTTAAATTTCCTCATATATGCTTCAAATTTGAAAGAATAATTCAAAAATTTATAAACAAAGACAAGATACTGCTTATACTTTTTATTCAATTTTCGAGTAAGAGATGTCTTTCTATTTGATGAGGGGAACGCGTATGTTTAATCATGAATTGAAAACCGAAATTCTAGATTACAACAACTTTTAATCAATTCTCTTTAATTGTTCGATTCATTTTGAGATCTTACTTGAGCTATAGAATACATTACAGATGTTATCGATCTATTTCTAAATTGCCACTGATTTAAATTGATATTAGCTATATTTTGATACATTTTTATTAAAATGGGATTGAATTGATAGTGCACGAACAGCTTATAGTGAATGAATAAATGAAATACTATAAGAAGGTATTTATGACCTATCATTGCACATTTGTTTTTCACTTATCACATTTATGTAATGAAAAAAAAATTTATTTCTAGTCTGGAATTTGGAAAATGACAAAGTACCCATAAGGCATTACAGTATTTAAAAAAATGCCTCAGTGTGTTCTTTCTAATATAGCTACCATTTCTTGGCATAATTTTGCTTGAGTATAATATTATTTTTTTTAAAATAGGGTAATAATCAGAATTAAAATCATGATTTGATTGGTTCATTCATGATTCATTTGATTTTTTGTTAAAAAATCATTAATTTTAATCAACTTTAATTTTTTTTTTAAAAAATCATGAATTATACTTTATTGTTCTGTATATTAACTTATACTTTATTATTTAAAAAAGTTCACATTAATTGAAAGTTTAAAATATTTTTTTTATATAATGTAATTAATAAATATATTTTTAGTGTGCTATTTTTTTTAAAGTCAGCAGATTTTATTGATAATGAAGACTTAATACAAAAATAATTATGAAAAGGAAATGAATACAAATTATTATATTCCAAAAAAGACTTCAAAAGAGTGGCATTTATGCCACTCTTTTAAGTCTTTTTTAACTTTTAAATTATAATTTTTCATTACCTGCATGCAAAATAATTTGCTGATAATACACATATTTCAGATATACTCATTCGGTTTTTATGCTTATTCAAACAGAAGTATTTTTAAAACTTATTATATGTGTTATTAGAAGATATCATTAACGAAGACTTGTTCTAAACTAAACTCAGTGGCGCGACAGCCCGTAGAGGGCTAAGGCCTAGCGTGCCCATCTCAGTTTTCTTGACTTTGGGCTCTGGGGTGCAGGAACAGATGATCCAGTTAGGTGGTCAGCCGAACGCGAAACTTAGTTCCCAAGCATGCTTGATACTCTTTTATCGACCCACTAAAGAGATGAAAGGCTGAGTCAACCTTGCCTGGTCCGAGGATCGAACGCAGGNAGGTGGTCAGCCGAACGCGAAACTTAGTTCCCAAGCATGCTTGATACTCTTTTATCGACCCACTAAAGAGATGAAAGGGTGAGTCAACGTTGCCCGGCCCGAAGATCGAACCCAGGACCTGTGGCACGAGAGCGCGAAGCGCTACCACTGGGCGTCGAATGTTGTGGTTTTTACACGTTTGATCAAATGTTGTGGTTGATTCATTGTAAAAATAAAAAAACTGATTTAAATAAAATAAAAAAATCCAATTTAAATTAAAATTAATTCTATATTTTCAATCATTATTTTTGCCAACCTTGATTTGAAATTCACATTTAACTAAATCATAGTAGAACACTTTACTTCCTTAAAGAGAAGACGCAGGTGCAGTGGAAAGTGTGCAATAATTACGAATTGTTTTTATTATTTTTTGTGTTATAACTGTGATGTAAATATGTGTACATAAAAATCCTTTAAGAATCTCTCTCTTTTTCTTGAAGGGGTCATTAGTATTATAACCACCATTATGAATTGAATGAATGTTTGCATGCATTTGAGAACAGTTATTAAAATATATTTTCATAAAGTGTGTATTGTAATGCTTTTATAACAGTCTGTTCAAAATTGTACATAGGTAAATAGAACATACGACACTTAAGGAGAAAAAAAATTCATTCAGTAATCTTAATAACTCTGGCAGCAAAATAACTTGGCCCCTTATTGGACCAATATTCACGAATCTTGGCTTAATAAGGGTTCAAAAGGCCCTATATAGAATTAGTTATACCCTATATAGAATAGTTATATTGGCCCTATATAGAATTGTTCGATTTACCCGATATTTTGCAGCCAATATCAGCCCTACAGTCCTTGGCCATATTATTAGACGCACTATAAGATTCTATATAAAGTGTTAACTACCAGGTGATGCTTTACAGCTTTATTGTTTTTATATGTCTGATTGCACTTGTTTACTTTCATGTATCAATTGGTAAACATTGTAATGCAATAGGTTAAAAATAAATACAAATAGGAAGTATATAAAAAATCTCCTGAATGAAAACCCATTACATTCATATTTAAAAATAAAAGACATGTAATTATTAAAAAAATATAGTAGGTCTAATAATTTTGTCTAATTATTATAATATAATACCTGATATAATAAATATTCTATATTTATATAATATATCGTCTACTTTATATCATATATCGTCTCATTTAACAAATTGATGCACGAACGTAAACAAGTGCAAACCGGTTTCATTCTCGTAAAGCTACAGCTTTACGAGAATCGCCTGATAATTAAGTCTTTACATAGAATCTTTTAGTGCGTCTAATAATTTGGCCAGTGACTGTATATAGAATTAACGGAACAGAATCACCCAATATTTCATATTTATTATTCAGCCTATATAGGCAGTTCTAGAACCAATATTACAAAATCTAGACATCCCAAAAT